CTGCGGGGGTGAGGAGCAGCCCAGAGCTCTTCAAGTCTGACTCGTGTCCGAGCCAATGGGGACTGGAAATAATTATAAAAAGGAAGAAAGCAGGTTTGTCTGACTGTTCCCTTGTCATGCTTTGGATGATGCCTTGTTAGGGAGTTGCTGGTGTGAGCGGTAATTAAAAGGCTATGCTAACAGTTGGTAGTAAAAAATGAAGTAAATCCATTTGAGGACACGGTGCTCTCCCATGTTTCCCCCTTCTCGGCACCCCTAGTGAGAAATGACCGGATTAAAGCCAAAATACATCTGCTTAAAGGAAAGTGAAACTAAAGACGTTTACTGAAAGGCAGTCTGGGGAAACGTGAAACTTCACCCTCACGTACTTCACCCTCTAAAGACGTTTACTGAAAGGCAGTCACACTGGGGAAACGTGAAACTTCACCCGCACGTACTTCACCCTGTGCTTCTCCTCAGCGGGCTGATGGTTACAAGAGGTCGTGGGGCTGAGGTATGAGATGCTGTCTGGATTCAAGAGGAAAGGTGTTTAGGTTAGCTATTTGTCTTGTTTACTTAAGTTTTTCAACTGTTTTAATTTTAATACAATTTTCACACAACTGCTCTGTAACACTTAAGTTCATAGTATTTTGTATCTGAGGGAATGGGATGATTTGGGGGTTGGTTAAAATGATATGCTGAGGGATCTCCTGTCTCTTGAGATAATTTGATTGAATTATTTTGCTTAAATAAACATCTTGGCTTTGAATAGGTTGCTGGCTGGATGATTTGTGGTTAGTGAACCTAACTTCTGCCTTGTGCTCTTTGTGCTGTGCACTGGTGCAGAGGGCAGCAGACTCGTTAGCTCTGTGCAGAGTATACTCACATTAGTCTGACTTTATCCACTCAGAGCACAACTTTTTTCACTACTTTCTTCTTTAACATCAAGTGTGAGTTAGCATTGACCCCAGATGCAATCAGGTTTCTTCTCTCTTCAGATTTTTCCCTGTTTTTCTTTTTTTTGGAAAGCTGGGTCTAAGGATTTGCAGAGAGCTGCAATGCTGAGCATGGAAGAGGGATTTTTCTCTCAGGCAGCAGTTAAAACTCTTATCAGGGTCTCTTCAGTTAAGGGGTGGTTACTGGGTGTGCCAGTGAGGGGCAGTCCCAGCATGACGCTGGGTTTGGTGGAAGAGGTATGTAAGTTAGGTGTTTTGAGTTAGGAGGAAATAAGAGGAACAGCTGTGCTCCCTGTGGAAGCTGCCGTTGCTTGAGTCTCCCCATGTTGTGAGAGGGATGGATAAATACTACTATAATCAGGTGAAGAGATTTCTGGGCTGCTTGGTGAATTTGTATAGCTTGTTTTCTTTTGTGACCAAGAGGCATACTTATATTTGTGTTTAGACCTGTATAGTGAGCAGAGTATTCAAAGTTCAGTGAAGAGCCAAAGCAGCAGCCAACTCTTCTTCACTTTTGGTGTAAATAACATGAAGAGTGATGGAACCTGTGAACCTCCTGACTTCCAAATAGCCTTAATCAGGGTAGCCCTCTTTTTTTTTTTTTTTTTCCCTTCATTGGTATGTGAATCTGAAGCATTTTGGTCATATCCTGGAATACAGAGGTTAGGCAAGAGAATTTTTTATTTTTAAAAGAAGCTTCGACTATTTGTATGTACGTATGATTGGAGTGACATTGTTTCTTCTCCCCTGCTGTCCTCCAGATTGTGACTCGAGCCAAGAATGAACAAATGTAAGAAGCCTGTTGAACAGGCTACAAACCTTGAAAAGTTCAGCCCCAAAATTCTTTCTGAAGTTGAGCAGCTCTTTGCAAAGAAGTTTACTTACACTAAGCCAGTGAATAATGAATGGCAGCTACCTGATCCCAGTGATGCTTTTACATGTGACCACAAGGAATTCCACTCACTCCTGGCACTGAAGGACTCGATGAATGAAGTGAAGAATCAACTGAGTGATAAGAACCTAGAGGAATGGCATCAGCACACCTCGTTTACCAATAAAGCGGGGAAAATAATTCCTCACTTGAAGAAGTCTGTGAATGCTGAGCTGTGTACCCAGGCCTGGTGCAAGTTTCATGAGATTCTGTGCAGTTTTCCTCTTCTCCCTGAAGAAGCTCTTCAGGATGGAGAACTGAATTCTGTTCACCTCTGTGAAGCACCTGGAGCTTTTATAGCGAGCCTCAATCACTACTTGAAATCCCACCGTGTCCCTTGCGACTGGAATTGGGTAGCTAATACTCTAAACCCATACCATGAAGCAAATGACACCCTTACGATGATCATGGATGACCGTCTTATAGCAAATACATTGCCTTGGTGGTACTTTGGTCCAGATAACACTGGTGATGTGATGACGTTGAAACATCTAACAGGACTTCAGAACTTTGTAAGTCATATGGCCACAGTTCACTTGGTAACTGCTGATGGCAGCTTTGATTGCCAGGGAAACCCGGGTGAACAGGAGGCTCTCGTCTCGCCCCTTCACTACTGTGAAGCAGTCACTGCTTTAATGATCCTGGGCACCGGAGGATCCTTTGTTTTGAAGATGTTCACGCTGTTTGAACACTGTTCTACCAATCTGCTCTTTCTGCTAAACTGCTGTTTTGAGGAGGTCCATGTCTTTAAGCCAGCCACTAGCAAAGCTGGAAACTCAGAAGCCTATGTGATTTGTCTTCGTTATATGGGCAGAGAAAGCATTCATCTGCTGCTTTCTAAGATGATACAGAACTTTGGGACAGAAATGGTCAACAAAGCACTTTTTCCCCAGCATATGCTGCCAGAATCTTTTCTTAAAGTACATGAAGAGTGTTGCATGTTCTTCCATAAGTGCCAGGTAGAGACTATCTCTGAGAACATCCATCTCTTTGAGCACATGGAAGAAGTGGAGCGGATGAAACTGAACGAGTTAAGAGACTGTGCAGTAGAACTCTTCATGCAGAGACTTCACATGAAACCCATTGCCAGAAATAACTGGCTCGTCAAGAAATCTCAGACTGGTTGCAGCATGAATGCAAAATGGTTTGGGCAAAGAAATAAATATTTTAGTACGTACAATGAGAGGAAGATGCTGGAAACACTCACGTGGAATGATAAAGTGGCAAAGGGCTACTTTAATCACTGGGCTGAAGAACATAGTTTAAATATTGCTGGTAAAATGTGCCTCTTGGAAGGCTCGTCTTCTGACCTTGAGTGTAGCTTGTGGTACGTTTTGGAAGGAAAAAGACTACCAGTGGTAAAATGTTCTCCGTTTTGTGATGGTCAGGTGTTGGAAAATCTTAACGAAGCTATGAATGAATTGGTGGTGGGGAGACTGAGAAGCAGGCAGTTGCAGACTTGTCACTCCTGTGAAGTTCTTCCCGGGGAACTGATACTGGCAGAAGTGTCTGATCTTTCCAGGTCTCATCAGGAAGTCTTAAATGTAAGATGTAGTGACCAGTTCAAGTGCCTTGTGGTGGACTTTCCATCCCTCTCTGGTACTGAAAGCCAACCTGGTATGGAAGTAAAGCTCTTGGGTTCTGCTACACTGATGACTTTCAGCTTCTCTCTGCTTTACGATGGAGAACCGAAGTACCAGCAGCAACTTTTGGAGTCTGTTCTGCATTCATTGAATCAGCTTACAGTGGGAGATGCGTTGGTTTTGCCTATTCTCTCTTGTTTTACACGCTTCACAGCCAGCCTGGTCTTTATACTGCACTGCTGTTTCACAGGCATCACGTTTGCTTGTCCGACCTCCCACGAGCCTCTAAGGACTAGTGCCGCTTTGCTGTGTGTCGGTTACCGAGGCCTCCCAAATCCAGTTGTTGAATACCTGCAGCACCTGAATAAGCTAATGAACTCCTTGCTAGACACGGACTCTCCCCAGCAGGTTTTGCAGTTTGTGCCCATGGAGGTTCTCCTCCAGGGCAAGCTGTTGGAGTTCTTGTGGGATTTAAACACAGCCGTTGCAAAGAGACAACTCCACTTGATTGTGCAAACTAAGCAGCAGCAAATGACTGGCAGTATTTCACCTTAAAATAATTCTAGAGTTGAGCAAGTTGCTGCTGCTAGACCGTGTTTCACAGGCAGGTAGAAGGTATTAAAAGCATTGTTAATGGTAATGTTACTGTAAAACCTTGGTGTGATGTTGAATGTTGGAGGATGTTTTGAGCTATCAGTCCCACTTCCATTGTATTGGCCTGTTGTATGGGAACCTGAGGCTTTATCTCAGGTGTGGGGCACTTGGAGGGACAGAGATGGAAGTGGAGAAACCGTTCCTGCTGTGTCACAGCTCTCCCTCAGCAATTTTCTTTGTGTCCCATGGGGATTAGAACTGTGGCCTTCGTGATGGGAGGTGGTGTGGTGCTTTGTGCATCTGGCCAGACGATGGGGGACCCTGTTGTGTGACAGTAACCATCTTCTGCAGAGCAAAATGTGGGCATTCTGACACACCAGTGTACTTTTCCAGGGTTTGTAGAAGCTGAAACGTGAGGTTTGGGCCAGAACATCCAGCAGTGTGCAAGCCTGATATAAGACCAGAGGGATGAGTGTCTTGTGAGCAGGCAGCTGTCTCTCAAAGGCTGGGTTAAAAATGACTGCCTGTAAGCAGGAGCAGAGGTGTCCAGGGAAAGATGCTCTTTGGTTTTAATTTTGTTTACACGAAGAGCAGCAGGCTGTATGGTTCTTGACAGGTTATTGTATGGTTTTGTCTCCCCATCAATGAATGGGTTGTTAAAATGTTATTTTTAAGTGGCTTATGGGACTTCCTTAAAATAGTTTGAGACTCCTGAGTGAAAGTGAAGACTTGCATCTGACCATGGCAGCAGCTATTAACGAGGGACTGCAAATGTTTTTCAGGCTAAACACATGAGCATGCACAGATCTGTGTATTGGGAAATGCTTTGGGCACCACTGGAGGAGCATTAAGCTGAAGAAATAGGTGATAACTTTGGGAAAGTATGATTAAGATTTCAGTTGGTTCCCCTTCAGGATTAAAATGCTAAAATTTGACTCCCCTAAAGGAACAGTCAGTTACCAATTTTATTTTCCATATTGCTCCTTTGAGAGCTAAATTTTGAGGCCTAACGTGTGTGCGAATGTTTAGCTTGAAGTTTGTAGTTTACGTGGAAAAACTTCCTCAGAGGAGGAAGTGATGTTTAAAGGAAAAAATGGCTTGCTATTGCTATGTGCAAGATCTCATAGAAAAAGGTTGTAAGGAGTGGAGTTAGAAGGAAAATGATGAATTACCAGGCACCTTCTGGAAGCACTTCTAGTTATATAATGTGGGAGCTTGAAAGATAATGGATTAACTGGGAAGGGGTTAAAAGCAGTGCTGAAGTACTGTTTTGTCTGGAGGTGCTGCACATTTAATAGGCTTTCTCCCTACGTAATCGGGGCAGAGTTTGGTGTGTTGAAGAGTTCTTTTTTTATTTAAGAATTTGATAGGTGAATGAGTTGGTGGCTCAGGTCTGACTAATTCATAACATTTTCTAAAAAATCTTCCTTTTTACAGTGACACATAAATATAAGCTGCCTAAACAAAAGCTGCTGGGGTTGGTCATTGTCCACTTTAATTTATTTAAATGAACTTGCTCTTTTTTGCTGTGAGCTGAGTCATGCTTTCTCTCTCAGACCAGGAAGGGAACAGAGGCTACAGACTGAGAGATGCATGCAGTAATAGCTTCTCCTGTAAATAATTTTTTGAACCTGTAAACTCAGGAGTGCAATCATTTCAGGAGGAGTTTCATTGAGGAATAAAAAGGAAATACTGAAAACCAAAATGAAGTGGGGGGCAGAGATATTGTAGAAGTATGGATGATGAGACGGTAACGAGTATCACCTGTAAAAGTTGTCGGTACCTGAAACAAAAAGCAGGATAAAGGTGTTGTCTGCCAAGGATACCCCTGTGTCTTTGCTGCTGTTTCAGAGGGGATTAATGCTTGTGAAGCTCCCCCGAGCGGAAGCATTTGGAGAGACCCCTCTCAAAGCAGGGTGCATCGGTGTGCTTACTCTGATACTCCACCATGGAGGCCTGAGTACCCAGAAGCCTCTCATCTAGTAGGTACTTACACAGCTGTTTTTTCCTTACAGTAGTCTAACTTTTAAATTATTATTTGTAGATAAAGTAAAATCCTGAGGTGACTGACAGACAATGAGAGATTTTTTTTCCCAAGCTTTCCTTGGCCTGTTCTGTACATCTGATGAACTATGAAGACTTAACTTTGAGATTCCTCCTATCCCATTGTTCCCTGTGTCATCAGTCTTCCTTTTTTCATTTATTTTTAGGAAAAACCATTTTAGCTGGTCACAGAACGTTGGGGGGAGTTAGGAATGAGTACTTCAAGATACACTAGATTGAACTGGTAGGGAAATATAACCCATCTGTTCGGAAGTACCCTCCAAAAAAATGTGTGCAAGCTCTCTTGTGGCAAGCCAGATCTCTAAACTGAAGGAAATCCGTTGTCCTGTGGATCCCGATGCCTGATTTGCACTGGAGCTTTTTCGTTTGTTGGCAGACATGGGGAGATGATAGGAGCAATGCTTTGACAGCAGCTGTTTTGGTTAAAAGAAAGGATGTTGTTTGGAGAACCTTCTTTGATTGTTGCCGTTTTAATGGCAGGAGTTTCAAAGTTATGAATGACACTCGTCCTTTTAATTGTGAGTGTCCTGCATTGTCCTAGCTGTCTTAGACCAAAGATTTCTTTGAGAGAAGTGACACTTAATTTCTGTTGTGACTTTTGGAATATGTAAGAATGCACAGGAAGAATGTATTAACCTTTGTGGAGAGGGTCTGGTGACTCCTGCCTTCACTGTGGCTGTCAGTTTTGGCCAAATTGATTTGATTTTGTGTGACACTCAAAGTCTCTCAGTATTCTGGTTGCTTTTAATTTTTTTTTTTTACCTGTGTGAAGATGAAATGGGTATTGGTTTTCATAACTTGGAGCTTAAGGTTTCACAGAGAGGGAAAACAGGTGAGGTGGAGAGATTAATTTGGTTGTGTGATTGAGATTCATGCAATCTGGAGGTAAATTTAGTTTTTCAGCCCTGCTGTTGCAGGTTTCCAATGAAGGACCAGTATCTAGGCCCAGTGATAACCTGTGAAACTCTTAGCATCTTTTGCTTTAAGCCAGCATGTTTTACAGTCAGTTGGATGAAGGTTGAATGAATTGGGTACTCCACTAAGTGAAAATGCTGATTTTTTTTTCTTTTTGAGTTCCATTGAATTTAAGACACTTGCTAGTTACTTTTACTAATTTTGTATTGTATTTAGATTCGTTTGGATGTGCACAGATTGTATGTGTTGTTGCCACTGGCTTCCCCATTTAATTTCTGCAAAACACAATGAGATTTATAGTATGAAATCCAGTAGTCTATTAAAATGGTACTAATTGGTGTCTATTCATCTTAATTTAAGCAGGATCTATCGAATTACTGGTTGTAAAAGTAGAATACGTAGCAGAATTGAATTCAGTTAGAAAAACAACTTGAGACTTAAGGAGAAGGGATTAATATTGCCTATTGGAAAGTAGGAGAAAGGAAAGACACACCTTGATTTCTGGCCGCTGAACTGGGTGCTTTAGGATGCAGAATAACAGCACATCCTTAATTAACTGGAAGCAAGGGTTGACCAGTAAGCTGAAGCCTTAGAGCCTTACAGCCTTCCGTTACCATCCCTTAAACCTGCCTTTCGACATCTCTGTAATTTATGTGTGATTTTCAGCATGTCAGGTCTTAATGGTGAAGTGTGTGTGGGGCGGCATCCTGTGTAACTTCTCTTTCCATTTTGGGTGGTGTGAGATGGGTTTGTTTATCAGTACTCGCCCCTGTCTCCTACTTTCAAACAACAGCCTCTAAATTTCACCTTGTAGCCTTCGAATTTCTGCCTCTATTTTGTTTTTAAGCACTTCAGTGAGTGAAGACTAACATTTCCTTGCCAAAGTCTGGTAATGGTTTTTCCATCTCATTTGTGCAACTCTTTCTGTGAATGCCATGCTGATATCCTTAGTTCCCGTTCTTGGGGCACTTCAGTCACTTGACAGAAAGCTCAGACGGAGCTGTTTATGCCAGGAAGGCGCACAGCCTGTGGCTGTTCATTGCTTACTCTTTAGGCAATAATTTGGATTGCCATCGAGCCCTCTCTTGTGACTTCTTATGGGTCCAGAGCTGATTTCAAGTCTTAAGAATGGAATTTGCTAAAAGAATTAGCTGGTGGCTGTAGACACTTAGAAGCAGAACCTTTAGGAGACTTTTAGATGCAGGAAACTTTTCACCACCTGGGAGAGGCTAATGCCATGTGCAACTGATGGGATTTGCTAGCCTCCTCTTGCTAAAAATTCTTAAAAAAAGGTTTTGAGGCATTGGCTACCTCAACCAATTGTTCAGCAGTTGTGTGCCACCTCTCTTTTATACAAGGGTATGTTTATGTTTGCACACCTGGAAGCTCCTGGGGTTGTACAGCCATTAAGCTTTTGCTTTGTAACTAATCCTTGTTTGCTTTTGTTTTGAAGGATGTGAATGTTTTTCGATGTAGGTGGCTATTGCATATTTTTCTTTGGTCAGCAAATGAGTGTTCAAGGACTTTTTTTTTTTTCTTAAAGAGGAAGGAAAATAACTGTTATTTGGAGAAAATAAAGTATGTTATTTTAGGTTTTAAATGTTGCTATTTACATGTTTCTTTACCCAAACATGGAATGAAACGATGAAGCATAGTAGGAAGAACCCTGGGGAGGTCTAACATTTAAACCATGGTTTCCTCATCTTGCCATTCGGATCCACGAGTGAAGGATACAGGAGCAGCCTGCTCCATTGGGGTGCTGCTTGCTTCTTACTTTCTTTAACCGTCTTCACCTTTGCAGTTATCTGTTGTAAGGGAGACTCCAGTTGCAGACGTGGTCAGAGCAGTGTGCGGGAGGCCTGCACACATTCCCCTTGGCCTTGTCACTGAGCTTTATAATCCGTTTGCCATTGGGTGGTTGCCGTAACCTACTTTAACAGCAAGGATTTTGTTGTAAGGATCTTCAGTTTCTCTTGGCTATG